TGCATCCCCAGCAGCTGTGTATGAGAGTGCTGATTGCTTCTCATCCTTCCTAGTTCTTGGTATTGTCACTATATTTTATTTTAACCATTTTAACAGGTGTATGATATCTCATTATGAGTTTGCATTTGCACACCCCTAATGACTAGTGATTGAAGTATCTTTTCATGTATTTATTTCTCATTTACATATCCTCATTGGTGAGGTGTTCCAGTCTTTTCACTATTTTTTAATTAAATTGTTTTCTTACTCCTGAATTGTAAGAGTCCTTTCTTGATACCCTCTGGGTAAAATCATTTGCCATGTATTTAATTTCTGAGATTTTTTTCCTCCCAGTTTGTGGTTTGTCTTTTCCTTCTGTTGACAATGTCATTCACAGAACGAAAGTTTTATATTTTGATGAAGTCTATTTTTCAATTTTTAAATACATTATGCTTTTGGTGTTCTGTGTAAAAAAAAATTTTTTTTTTGAAACAAGGTCTCACTCTGTTTCTCAGGCTGGAGTAGAGTGGTGCGATCATGACTCACTGCAGCTTCAACCTCTCAGGTTCCAGCAACACCCCCACGTTACCCCTGCAAGTAGCTGGGATTACAGGTGCTCGCCACCATGCTCAGCTAATTTTTGTAGCTTTTGTAGAGACAGAGTTTTGCCATGCTGACCAGGCTGGTCTCAAATTCCTGAACTCAAGTGATCCTCCTGCCTCGGACTCCCAAAATGCTGAGATTACAGGTGTGAGCCACTGCACCTGGCTCCTAAAAACTCTGCCTAACTCCACTTTATGAAGATTTTCTCCTATGTTTTTTTCCCTAATAGTTTTCTAGTTTTACTAAAATGAATTATCTCTTAATAGCTTAGAGAAAACTGAGGCAGTAGATGAGAGTCTAAATATTTTGAAATGACATTTTTCATGTTTAAAAACATTCACAAATATCTAGAATATTGCATAAGATATATCTGTGAAATATAAAACAAATTCCAAAAGTAAAGGTCTCCATAACTTCAGAAGAAAACATTTCAACGATATGCTTTCTTCATTGTGCAATTCTCAATTTCCTCCCCCACAACAAGGGCATGAAATGGGATTGTTGAATGTAACAGTACTGTTCTGTGGTGAGTGAAATTGGATAGAAAAAGTCTTATATTTCTTGACATTAGTCTTAGTAAAAGAAAAAAGAGAAATTTTTTTCAAAGGTCAGACTCCCCATAAAATTTATTGTTTAATAAAAATGCACTGACAATCCTAGGACAACACTTGTAATGTCTGAAATATCTAGCAACAGTTTTTAAAACTAAACATCTTTGAAAAAATTCTTTGAAAGACTTTATAAATGAAGCAATCCTCCCATCAACCCCTTGCAAACAATAACTTATTTCAAGGTATTAACAAAGATAGCCGGGCGTGGTGGCTCAGGCCTACAATCCCAGCACTTTGGGAGGCTGAGGCGGGTGGATCACGAGGTCAAGAGATCGAGACCATCCTGGTCAACATGGTGAAACCCATCTCTACTAAAAATACAAAAAATTAGCTGGGCATGGTGGTGCGTGCCTGTAATCCCAGCTACTCAGGAGGCTGAGGCAGGAGAATTGCCTGAACCCAGGAGGCGGAGGTTGCGGTGAGCCAAGATCACGCCATTGCACTCCAGCCTCGGTAACAAGAGCGAAACTCCGTCTCAAAAAAACAAAAACAAAAACAAAGAAGAGTGCTTTTATGGATCTCTGACTGCATAAGTTTTTTCAAGGCTTATTATAAATACAACTTTCATAAATATATATAAGATAGCTGAATTAATTTTTTGGTAATTAATTAACTCTATAGTGATATTGATAGTTTACTTTCCCAAAAGTATTACTGCCATTTTGAAGTATAGTAAGAAATTATTTCCTTAAGTAAAAACTGAAAGAATTTCCAAATCAGCTTTCTGTTATAGCTGTTAGACACTTTGGCTCCTACCTAAGCTGTTCTGCCCTGAAATAATTTCAAGATCCTGAGATTTCTTATTAGAAAAATTAAACACTTTGTCAAATGAAGAAATAGTAAATCCATTTAGAAGCAGAATTGTAAGTTATAAGATAATAATTATTAGATTTGTCATTGATACAAGTCAACTATATATACTTCCCATTATGTAAATGAACCAGTAATTTTATATTACAATGAAATATAAAGATTATCCAAAGAAAAGTTACAACTAGAGACTACTGGATATATCTAAAGTTAAACAAAAAAAGGCTGGGTACAGTGGTGAGCACCTGTAACCCCAACTACTTGGGAGGCTAAGGTGGAAGAATTACTCGAACTCAGGAGTTTGAGACCAGACTGGGCAACACAGGGAGTCCCTGTCACATAAAAAAGTAAAATATGATAAACAGAAAGAGCCTAAGTATTTTCAGGGAATTAAAAACCTGATATCTAATATTAAGTAAAAGTGACTCTGAAGTAGCTGGATTTTGATCTTATATTTTCACAAACACAACTTCATGGCCCTCAGTAAGTTAAAACTTCATGAGGCTGTGAATTCTGATGATTTTTCCTAAAAATAATGGCCATTTGTAGAATGTTAAAAAAAAAAAAAGAAAGAAAAAATAAAGGGATTATGACATGATGAGAAGTTTGCTTTGGGGAAAAAAGACAGGACAACTTTTTCTGGCCATTCTCTATGTATAACCACCTTTGCTTCTTTTAGGCAGAATATTTCTTTATTTATTTAATTTTTTTTTTGAGACAGGGTCTCACTCTCACCCAGGTTGGAATGCAGTGGCACTATCACAGCTCACTGCAGTGCTGAATCCTGGGCTCAAGTGATCTTCTCACTTCTATATCCCAAGTAGCTGGGACTACAGGCATGTGCCACCATGCTTGGCTAATTTATTTTTTATTTTTTTGTAGATGCAAGGTCTGCCAATGTTTCCCAGGCCAGTCTCAAACTCCTGGGTTCAAGTAATTCTCCCACCTCGGCCTCTCAAAGTGTTGGGATTACAGGTATGAGCCCTTGTGCACAGCCTAGACAGAATATTTTTCTTTCTTCTTTTTTTTGAGAAGAAATTTTGTTCTTGTTGCCCAGGCTGTAGTGTAATGGCGCAATCTCAGCTCACTGTAACCTCCCACTCCAGAGTTCAAGCAGTTCTCCTGCCTCAGCCTCCCAGGCAGCTGGGATTATAAGCACCCACCACCCTGCCCAGTTGGGTGTATTTTTTGTATTTTTAGTAGAGATGGGGTTTCACTATGTTGGCCAGGCTGGTCTCCAACTCCTGACCTCAGGCGATCCACTCACCTTGGCCTCCCAAAGTGCTTGGATTATAGGCATGAACCACTGCACCCGGCCCAGAATATTTCTTTTTTTCTTTTTTTTTTTTTTTTGAGACGGAGTTTCGCTCTTGTTACCCAGGCTGGAGTGCAATGGCGCGATCCCGGCTCACCGCAACCTCCGCCTCCTGGGTTCAGGCAATTCTCCTGCCTCAGCCTCCTGAGTAGCTGGGATTACAGGCACGTGCCACCATGCCCAGCTAATTTTTTGTATTTTTAGTAGAGACGGGGTTTCACCATGTTGACCACGTTGGTCTCGATCTCCTGACCTCGTGATCCACCCGCCTCGGCCTCCGAAATTGCTGGGATTACAGGCTTGAGCCACCGCGCCCGGCCCAGAATATTTCTTAATAAACACATGAACTTGAGTCAATCTCATTGTTGTGGAGGGGTGCAGTGCTCACTTGTGGGCTTTAATGTGATCTTTCTAATATCCATGTACTTGGTCATTCTATTCTCCTGCCCCTCCATCTTCCCATCCACCTCTGTACCTCTCTACCTATTTACCTACCGAGCCAGCCAGCCTCTTTCCAAAATTAATATGAGACAATTTAACATGGCTGTATTATATACAAAGTCAGTCTAGCTCTTTGATAGTTTAGATAACTTTAAAATTTACTAAATAATGTTTTCTTTTTTCAAATATCTGCAGCTTTGCCCCAAAACATAAAACAGTGTTTTCTTGATTTAGGTACAAAAAAAGAATCACCTTAAATAGTTTTCTTGTCCATTTGCAAATTTCTTGTTTTGCAAGTTATGCTTTATTAATACCCAGATTTCCTCATTCAATCATTGTATTCTAGCTGTGCATCCAGTAAGAACAAGGACACTTGAGGCTCAGAATAGCCCTTCAGCAAAGTGCTGAAAAAATATAGACTTGAGAAGATAATATAAAAACAAAGTGTTGCCAAAGGTCAAGATAGCCAAGATTGTATGGATGTGTTGCAAGATCAGGCACATTCATTCACAAGATTTAGAACTGTAGGGGCAGAAAGAACTGTTCCTTTATCCTCTTAGGTTCAGTAGCTGAGAACTACAAATTAAACTGACAAAAGACATATCAATAGGAGAAAAGGTTTATTTTCAATGCACACAGTCTCTTCACAGAAAAGTAGCAAAACCTCAATGAGGCAGTTTGGTGTAGAAGAGCTGGGAGTTTATATACCGTTTTAACAAAGAGTGATAAGTTGTGGACAGGTGACTAGACAAAGGAAAAGGAGTTTGGGTTTCTGGGGAAGTAAATTGTGAGAAGGCAAATACATGGGGTAAACTAATGGAAGATCAGGCTTATTTTAGTAAGGTTTGTTTTTGCAGATTCATCAGTAGGAATTGTCACTGGTGATTAGACATCTTTACAAATGGAAATTTACATCACCTTTATAAAGTGAAATGTATGCCCTGTTTTTCAGCAGAAAGATAGAGGACAGGACAGAGAGTTCTTCCTGTGTCTGCTGTTTCTTAATTGCTTTCAGCTCAAAATAATCCTCATGCAAAAATGGCATATTTTGAGATGGCATATTAGAATCCCCTTTGGAGCTATTTCATGTTGCCTGATTGCTAGCACATTTCTCTTATAGGTTGGTTCAGAGGACTGTTTCCATATCATGTCCATGCTTCCTCATTTGGAATTACAATGAGAGTTTAAGGATTAAATGCTTCAATATAACATTCAGTTAATAAAACATCAATTTTACTCACATCTGGTGTTTGAACAGCTGAATTCCACATAACTGGTCTCTGAAGGAATACGATCTGCTTTGTAGCCAAATTCCCTTCACTGCAAATTAAAACAATAGTATTAGTATTTCTGAATTAGTAATTCTCTATATTTCATAATTGGCTAGAATGTTCCATATGTAGTTTTGTAAAATAATCTTCTGACCAAAAATAATTATGAAACATAATTCTTTTCTTTCTTCCAGTGATGGAAAAAATGTAAAACATGATTCTATAAAAACCACATCTGGAAAAAGAAGAACAACCCCTGAAAAACTGAATATGGTCACTACAAAAGAAAACAATTTTAATGTTTAAAGACTCTTGTAATCTCACCAAGCGAACATCAATATTTTTGTTTCTTTGTTTCCTCTCTTATTCTTTATCAGCTTGTGTATTTTCATGTCTGCAATCACTGCATATTTATATTTTGTTTCTATGTCCTTCATTGAACACTCTTTTTTTGTTTGTACACTGTAATCAAATTTTTAATGGTTACATAACAACACAAAGAATTAAAATATCAAAATGTACTCAACCTTTCTTTTATTATTGGAAAATAAGGTTGCTTCCTGTTTCTTGCCAGTTATAAATAAATGCTGCTGTTATAAAGAATATGTATCGTATTCATCTTATGAATTATTTTCTTGAAATGAATACTTAGGAGTGGGATTATTAGGTCAAAGCTTATGATTTAAACTTCTTGGTATGCATTGTCAAATTTGCCTTATAAACAGAAGAGACCAATTTAGGCTGCCACATGTGAGAAAATTTACATTCATTTTCAATTGAGGGACTTCAATTATAGCTAGTTTTACTCTCAGATGCTTCTTTGTAGTCAGCTACTCAGTATTCTCCTTATTTAACTATCATCATGGCAAATTACCCCTTGCCAAAGACTACTTGGGGTTTGTATTCCTCTGAAATGCTTTTCACAGAGTCTCCATGGATTTATGGGGAGGAGTGTCTGTAGCTAATGTTGCTCAGTTACGACTTTTATTATGCAAAAAACCCCAACAAAACCTTACTATTAGCTGCATTTTATACTGAGCTCTTTTTCTGGAAAATGAATGCAACACTGAAACTCTGGCTTTAGAGTTATATGTCAACTGCACACCATTTGAAAATCCCAACCTCACTGATACCACTGAATTTGAGAAATATCAAATCTTTCTCAAAGTGATAACAGGAGACTTCTTTTTTATTTTCATTTTTGAAAGACCGTTTCTAGTCTAATCTCATTAGAGCAAAAAACTTACATAAAACATATAATAACTTTGGGAACACATCATCATGAGGCTTTGGCACACGGATAGGATTAGCATGTGTACAGAAAAGGCTGGTCATATGTTTTGGAAGCATGAAGTATACTGGAAAAAACCATGGCTTTGGAACCAGATAGTTCCTGTGTTCAAATCCAAATTCTGTCATAGTATCTAATAGTTGACACCTTTAATCAATTAAACCTTAAATTATCTGACTGTTTTCTATCAGGGATCTCAATAAGTGATAAGTGAAGAAAAAGCATGTGTGAAGAGCCTCCCATTGTGCCTGCCACTAGAATAAGTACAACAAATGTAATTTCTTTCCACTTTTCCATTTATTTAGTGAAACATAGGGTGCAGTTAAGGGAAGGGAGGAAAAGTTTCAGAATCAAGAATATCTTCCAGAGGGCAAATTCAAGGGACAGCCAGATATGGTGTTCATGCCTGTAATCCCAGCACTTTGTGAAGCTGAGGAGGGAGGATCCCTTGAGTCCAGGAGTTTGAGACTAGTCTGGGAAACATACTGAGACTCCAGTCTTTACAAAAACATTAAAAAAAAATTTATCCAAGTGTGGTGTCACATGCCTGTGGTCCCAGCTACGTGGGAGGCTGAGGTAAGAGGATCACTTGAGCCCGGAGGTTGAGGCTGCAGTGAGCCATGATCATACCACTGAACTCTAGAATGGTGACACAGAGAGAAAACCTCTTTTTTTTTTTTTTTTTTTTTTTTTGAGATGGAGTTTTGCTCTCGTTGCCCAGGCTGGAGTGCAATCTTGGCTCACTGCAACCTCCACCTCCCGTGTTGAAGCAATTCTCCTGCCTCAGGCTCTCGAGTAGCTGGGATTACAGGCATGTGCCACCATGCCCGGCTAATTTTGTAGTTTTAGTAAAGTCAGTGTTTCTCCATGTTGGTCAGGCTGATCTTGAACTCCTGACCTCAGGTGATCCGCCTGCCTTGGCCTCCCAAAGGTGTGAGTCGCTGCGCCCTGCTGAGAGAACTTATCTTAAAAGAAAGAAGGAAGGAAAAGTAAAGAAAAAAGAAAAACAAATTCAAGGAACAGGGTACATGGGAATGGAGAAGAGACCTTCTGGTTCATGTTACAGGTGTGTGATCCAGGTGGAGAATCACATTAAAGAACCAGACCTGGAACGATCCAAAGATGGGAAGGAGGGATCAGGGTAGAATTATTATTCTTGAAGAGAAAGCAGGAGCACGGTGGGGTAGGGATTGCTGGAGACCTTACAGGATTGCTTACAGACCAACTGTGGAGGGGGCAGTTCTGAATGCACTAAGATGTAATGTTTGGCTTACGGCAGGCTTTACAAACTTTACTGTGCATTCCAAACACTGAGATGCCTGTTGATTCCAGGGTTCACTCCATGTCTATGGAATCTTCATTTCGCCAGGCTCCCTAGGTGGCCCTGATGCACAGTATACTTGGGAACCATCACCAGAAGACACAGACTTGGAATTGTGGACTTTGCAGGCCCTGGGGATTACTTGGTGATAATTCCTTCTATCAAAGGCATTCACTGTTGGTTTTCCTTGAATAAAACAACCTACCAACAGTTCTTCTTGGTATGGAGTGTGGAACCAAAAAGGGCTTATTTTCTGGAAGCATCCTTGATGTCTATTTTACCATATTCTTCTGATGTGACACGTGTCCTTAAATTTTTTGGACAATTTTAGCCAGATAAGCTACCTAGAGTCATACTGATGACACATATGTTTAACCATCTGCAGTTTCTCAATGTATTCCTGACCTGACTTGTCTAAAATACAAAGGAATTTTATATTTGGGAATGTGGGTGAGGAGTTACTCTCTCAGCAGTATGACACAATTCCTGGCAGCAACCCCAAATTATGAAAGATTTTCTCTATCAGTGGATCCTGAGGCAGTGGGAGAAGGAGAAAGAGGAAGGAGATGGCTATCAAAGGCTCCGTGGGTTGGAGGTGGAGGTAGGTTAGGGGTGTATGTCAAGGAAAAAAGTCCTCAGATGGTGTGATGTACAGTGTTTGATCCTGGGTTGAGAATCATCACCTGTAGGTTGAAATAGGATTCTCTCTGCCAGCATTCTGCTTGATATTTAACACAGGATGCAGAGAGGTGAGACATGTGGCATAGGGGAGGTGAACCCCTCGTAGCTACTTCCGTGAAGCAAGAGCACTTTCAAACCTATTCCTCCTGTGGTGTGAAGGGGATTGCCTCTGAAACGGAAGCAGCTTTTTAAGCATGAGCTTTATTTAATTTAATTTTTTTTTTTTTTGAAGCAGATTCTCACTCTGTCACCCAGGTACAGTGCAGTGATATGACTGTGGCTCAGTGCAGCCTCTGCCTTTTGGGTTCAAGCAATTCTTCTGCCTTAACCTCCCGAGTAGCTGGGATTACAGGCATGTGCCACCACACCGGCTATTTTTTTGTATTTTTAGTAGAGACAGGGTTTCACCTTGTTGGCCAGGCTGGTCTTGAACTTCTGACCTCAAATGATCCACCTGCTTTGTCCTCCCAAAGTGCCAGGATCACAGGCCTGAGCCACCGTGCCTGACCTAAGCATGAGCTTTAAAACTGTTGGGTTGAAACTGACAAGTAATGCCCTTCCAGTGGCTCTATGAGGAGTGGTTTGGGGAGTCTAATGAGATAAAAAGCAAACGTGGAGATGGTTTGTCAAAGGCTGACAACTTTAGACAGCATTCAGATGCCCAAATAAGACTTTGGAAGGTCAGCATCTGCCTGCCTCTTGGGGAGGTCCTCAGAGTCAGATCCCTAATTTGAGATGTGTCTGAAACTTCTATGTCCCTGATTTTCTGAGGACCATTTTGATTTAAAATAGGTCCTGCTATTTTCAGACCAGCTGTGAGACCATGTGGAACTTGTTTTGGTTTCAAGACTGTAATCATGGTAGACCTAAGGGAAAGAGGTCTGAAGTCTTATAGAGGGACATCTATTTGGTAGAGCAAGTAAGTCCCTTATGGTTCCCTGAGCTGTTTACAGAGCTGGGATAGAATATTTTTCCCTTAGCAAACTGGTGGTCATTATGGGACCTGAGAGGATGTTTCAGATGCCCTGGATAATTTCAGAGGACAGAGCCCACATCTCTTATTCCCTACAAAATTTTTCATCCAGAAAGTACTGTTAATTATTGATTAATCATTGAAAGCTTTGCTTTAAAATTCCGTGAAATGAATTCAGTTTTGCCAAGAGCGGCTTGCACTAGTTGTAAAACAAACAACAAAAATGAAACTTAAAAAGCAATTCTATTTATACTTTGATAATATCTTTAGTGATAATTTTTTTTTTTGGAGACAGAGTCTGGCTCTGTCACCCAGGCTGGAATGCAATGGTGCAATCTGGGCTCACTGCAACCCCTACTTCCCAGACTCTAGTGATTCTTCTGAGTCAGCCTCCCAAGTAACTGGGACTACAGGCATGCGCCACTATACCCGGCTAACTTTTTTTTGGTATTTTTAGTAGGAACGAGGTTTCACCATGTTGGCAAGCCTGGTCTCAAACTCCTGACCTCAGGTGATCTGTCCGCCCTGGCCTCCCAAAGTGCTGGGATTACTGGTGTTAGCCAGGAACCCTGGCTGATAATTAAATTTAAAAAACATTTTTGGGCTAGGTGCGGTGGCTCACACCTGTAATCCCAGCACTTTGGGAGGCCAAGGCGGGTGGATCATGAGGTCAAGAGATCGAAACCACCCTGGGCAAAATGGTGAAACACTGTCTCTCCTAAAAATACAAAAATTAGCTGTGCATGGTTGCATGCACTTGCAGTCCGAGCTACTCCGGAGGCT